TACATATACACGATGGAATACTACGCAGCCATAAAAAAGAACAAAATCATGAATTTCGCTGCAACCTGGATGGAACTAGAGTCTATAATACTGAGTGACACTCACAAAAACAAAAATCCCGAATATCACATGTTCTCACTCATATAATGGACCTTTGAACATCCAATGCAATACTATGAGAAAATGACGGATGGTACTGGGAAACTATGGGGGGGAGGGGGATGGGATTAACAGTAGCAAATATCTGTCGGGGGATGGGAAAACACTTCTTATCTACAGGCTGCCTGAATGAAACGTCATTGTACACCTACCCTTAACTGTACCCCACAAAACCATAATAAAAACTACTGATTAATGAAAAAAAAAAAATTACAATATTAAACATTCTTTGCTGGTTTTAAAAAATACTTTGTTAGTAAAGCTCCTTTCTCTGACTTTTCAACTTATTTTTGACCCCTTTGCATGGTGGGCATCTGTGTACGCATTAAATGGTTAACCTTTTTAAGATAGGCTATCTTTTAAGTAAGGTTATTGAGTCCTCTTAAGCAACTTGACAAATTTATCTGTTCCATTAAATATTTTTATTAGTTAAAAGCTATCTCTTGGAGTCTATGTTTCTAAAGAAGCTCCTTTAGAAGCCCTTCTTGTGAAAGCTGCTTCCCATTCTGAATGTCATCCAATGACATCCATCAAACTGGTTACCGAGTGGGCAGAGGTGAATCCACCTCTGGCATTGAGTCAGATGTTTCTACAGCTCGTGGGACTGGGTACTAGACATTCCTCTTTGGCTATAGGGTGGCAAGGTCTGGAAAGGAGAGTACAGGCTGTTTGTTCTTGGATGAGAAACACAAGAAAGCCCGAGTGGGTGTGAATGTAGGAGTCTCAGTCTAGCAAAACAAGAGCAGCAATCAGAAGCAGACCCTTTTAAGATCCAAAGCCAACATTCTCTGTGGCCCTCGTATTAAATGGTTAACCCTTTTAAGATAGGCTATCTTTTAAGTAAGGTTATTGAGTCCACTTAAGCAACTTGACACATTTATCTGTTCCATTAAGTATTTTTATTAGTTAAAAGCTATCTTTTTCCATTGAAATACTAGTTCCAAGCAAATGTGCTGTTTCGGAAAAGACTTTTTTTAAGTATCCAGAAAAATGTTGGGTTTGCAGCATAGCTCTGTTGCTCGCCAGCTTCAGGTATGTCATGTGTTTTAAAAGGGATGTGTGTCACATACCAAATGTATAGCAGACACTAAACAAATAGCAAGTTTTATTTGTACTCATATAAACATTTTATTGGATGCAACTGAATTGTCCCAGATGGTGGATACACCTGTATTTTGTGAACTTGGAACTGTCTCTCTCCCTCTGTGCAATCATCATCAACCACCCAGTCTCAGCACTCACTTTCATCGAATGCTAAGAGTGAGCCCTAAGGGCCTAAAGTTTTTTTTTTTTTTAAATCTTCTTTTTTACTGGGAATATACTTGGAAGAATTCAAATCACTCTATAGAAAAGATGCCTGCACACGTATGTTTATTGCAGCATTGTTCACAGTAGCAAGAACATCAACCAACCATACTGTGCATCAAAAGAAGACTGGATTTAAAAAAACGTGGTACATATGCATGATGGAATATTATGCAACCATAAAGAACAAAATCATGAACTTCACAGCAACCTGGATGGACTTAGAGTCTATAATACTGAGTAATCTTTCACAGAAACAAAGAACTGAGCATCACATGTTCTCACTCATAAGTGGACTTTGAACAATTATCATAATACTATAAGGAAAGGATTGGCAGTAGCGGAAAACTACGGGGGGTGTGGGAGCGGGGAGGTGGGATTGGCAGTAGTGGGAATCTGCCTGAGGGAGGAGGGCACACCTCATCAACAAAGGTATCTGCATGATGAACAGGTATACTTGCTCATCATGCAGGTACCCTGAATTGTACCCCACATCTTTAAAATAAAATTGTAAATAAATATCTTTAAAAATAAAATAAATCTTCCTTTTTCAGCAATTAACTCAGTACTTGCTTCCAAAGCCCTTCTCCATTGATTTATAAGGTCTTTGCGTCCATTTCTGACTTTGATTTTGCCTCTGTCTTTTGGGATGTGACAATAATCACAAAACAGTTTAAGAAAATTATTGATCAAGGGGTTACACATGCCAGTACTAAGCCCAGCAGGGATACAATCTCATTTAAAATGAGTACAATGTTCAGAAAGAGATCTTACCTCCACTAAAGACATGTATGAATTTAGATATATAAAGATTGAAAACTGAGCTTAGATGGGTCAGATGCTGTATGGTGAGTTGTGAAGCAGCCGGGACTGAACTCACAATTGTTTTAAACATACCCCCAAAATGGGCTCTCAATCCACAGCCAGGACCTGCATGTCAGGCCACATACAAAGGAGTAAAATGAACATCACTCAGCTGATCTGCTCTAATTTATAGGTATAAGGTGACTCTAATTTGCAGATGTTGGTTCTATAATTATTAGTTTTGATTCTTGGTGACTTTCCTCACAGAGGGTCTCAGCACACTTCATGGAGTGATGTCATGTTGGCTTGAGGTCTACAACCCAGGACCTCTCCTGGGCCTTCTGGCCCTGCCTTAGCTCTGACAGCTGGCAGGTGGCAGACTGGCAGGTGGCAGACTGGCAGACTAGATGCTGCCTAGGGGCAGACTGCTCACCTTCTCTGATGTGGCTCTGGCCATCTTATTTCATAACATGTGCTTTCCAACCTTATTTTGTTTTGTTTATAGATGAATACTAAGGCTTGTGGCAGGAGGTGACACACCCACACCCAGGCATCTTGTTTAATGCAGGGCATTCTTTATAGTCAGATTTTCCCCCTGGTCTTACGCACTAACCTCCTCTGCTATAGAGACACATCTTGAAGGGGATATTGATTTTTTTTTTTTTTTGAGTTGGAGTCTCACTCTGTCACCCAGACTGGAGTGC